TTAATCGGCCTTTCGGGACTGGGCGGATTTGCATGCGTAAGTGGGGTGCTCTGTTACGCTTGTTCGGCGAGCACTTCTCCCATTCTCCCTGAAACACCGAATTCTGTCGTTTTTTTCATTTGGCCATGTTATCTCTCAATCGTGCAGCATTGGTATTTCGACATTCTCGAGTTCATGTTGTGCCATTTCCATTTCTTTCATACGTATGTCAATGGCCAGGGTGACCTTCTTTCCTCGAAGTACACATGTACTTCTAACTCATTGACTATAATGTGATATGGCGTGTGAACGACCTGGACCTGTGATTTGTCGATTTTTGGTGGCATGCTTGAGGACCGAGGCAGTAGTACGGCGTTACCGAATTTTAAAGTTATAGTACTAATTTCCATATTTACTATTCTTAAAGCTGTTTTCTCTCCAGCAAAACGTGGCATTGTCTAGTGTGATCATGTTGCTACCTTCTAGAAGTTCATTCTGTAATTGCGAGATCTGCCACAATACCCACTGAGTTGCAGCGCAAACGTTAAAGAGGTCCCATAACGTTGATCATTCTTCTGGGATACGCTGTCTTCCTACATATCGTTTGCTAGTTTGTTTCGAAACTAGTTACGCAGTGTTGCAGTAGTTTAATATTCTCCTAGACGCTGAATGCAGAGACTACCGTAGTGCTCGTATCCTCCCTGTACAGATTATCCCGCTTATTTTGTTGTTTACTAACCTCTAAATGCTAGCAATGTGCCGCCGTGTGAGCAGCAGAGTCGAATTTTCAAATATCTTCTCCTCAGTGAGATTTCATATTTACTTAATTCTGCTACCACTTTCATCTCTAGTTTCTACCTTTTACTCATCTATTCTATCCCTATTTTACATTCTTTTCCGAACCTCACTTTTGTAATGCTCGACTATACTCTACTCTCCTGAATCAGAATTAGTTCTCATATCGCGCAGCAGGATCTGTTTTTCTTGGTTACCCTAGGCGCTATATCCTTTAATCCAGGGTGCGCCCACTTGTTATCTGATCACTTTTTGAGCTACTTCCTCATCACTGGACAAAATAACGACCTTGATATCATTTTTGGTCTCTGTAAGAATGCTGATTTCTCATCCATCATTTTATCCATAGTATCGAATTTGTTCGTTGAACCAGTTGAAAGTATTTTAAACAAAAAGAGATGATGATATTGTCAGCCAATTTATCCGATGTGGATTTCTTCACAGTATGGAACTTCAAAGCTGGTTTTCTCATTTCCTTCACTTTAAAAAACGCAATCGGCAGTTTTTTCCTCTGTCCCATGGAACAGATGTCAAGGCTTGCTCGTAATTGAACGCTACGAATCATCGACCATTGAAATATGAAGTCATACAAATGTGTTAAGTGCCACTCAGTTAAACAGTTGTTAGCATAAAATCTAGTCCATAATACCTGCTTGTTTAAGTTCCTAAACGATCCTATTCATGCGTCAGTTCATCCCGAGCTGATTGAAACATCAAAAATTGACTTTACTACTTCACAACTAGCACTGATTTCTATCACCTGTGGTATTTATCGAGTAACTAGAATGGACATCAGTTGAATATTTCATTGCTACTGCGTAAACTCTACTTACTCAAGAGATAGAACGAGTTCCACGTTGCCGTGTATCATGCCTTTTATTGTCTCCTGGTAAGGTGGCACCGGATAGCTCACAATGTTCTAGTGTGACGTATGGTCACTCTTAGTGGGATTCTGACTGCAAATATCAAGCCCTTTGCTTGGATGAGCTTGATGAACCACCGGCGTTCATCGTAGTTCGACACGAGGAAGCATACTGCTACATGTCATCCCTTAGAGACAGGACTACCAGTGGTATTTTGCTCCTCTTAGACAGTGTATGACATTCATGTGACAATCATTGAAATTTTTAGATAACTCCACTTGTGATCAGCCAATCTTTTTATTACTCGGAAATGTACGTGTTTTTACTACTCTTATCGAATTTCTCAAAGTAACGGCAAAACTGCAAACTGTGGTTTGGAACATTTCAGACTATTCATCTGAATTATTCATTCTATAGCATGATGACCACATATTATGGCTTTAAACTAGAAGAAAAACTGAGTCCAAACAGAGTACTTTCATTGAGTCAGTTATTGCAATAGTTATAAGATGATGCAGTGCTCGGGTATAATTTTGTAGACGTTATCTTCTGCTCCCGTTTAAATCTTGGTGAACTGGCTGAATTTGGTCTACTAGATGATTCTTGATTGGTGGCTAGGCTAAGCACAGGTTTCGATGCCATCGTTATGGAATTCTAACGCCAAGGCACCAAGTATTACTGCGTTCCACAACGGCTCGTGAAAGCCTTTGATGAAGATCGGTGAACGTCTTAGCTGAGAATTCTAAGGTGTTCTCATATTAACACAAGAGACAATTACCGGTCTTTATTGGTCGAAATCTAATATTGTGAAACTCTGAATCTTCAAAAGCGGAAGCGATTCCCACATCGACGACAATTCATGAGATAAGTCGACCGACCGCTCGAGAATGACAGACTGTTAGCGATAAAACCACAAGAATGCTGTAATATAAGCAAAACTCAGAGTCTCAAAAGGGCTTCAAGTCTGCGATTAGCCTTGCATTGATCTCACGTGCTGTCCGCCAAACCAACCAAGGCCACTGCTTTGCTTTTCTGTCAGCCATGTTTTGACTCTATCGGTGCTCTCAGCAATCACCTGTTAACGGAAATGAGCTGGGAAGCACAAATCGGTAGTGATTCCAATTAATGCTGAACCCAGTTAGTTGGTATCGATTTGTGCTCACCAGATTAGTCCCGTTGACCAGTGATTGCTGATACCACCGATAGAATAAAAGCATGGCTAAGAGAAAAGTAGAGCAAGGGCTTCGATTGGCTTACCATATAGCATTTGAGCCTCCGGTGAGGGTAAGAAGGTTGGAAGCTCTCCTGAGGTCCTGAGCTTGGCTCACCTTGTGATTGTATTTCATATCATATATTTCTTTGAAGAAAGAAAGAGCAGAAAATTAAAATGAATACATTAGTAACAATAGAGCTTTTGGCAACAATCCATCGGTTAGGAACGCACCGTGCATTTGACTCAATTAAGCATCTCTGAGCGCTGTATCAAACTTAGGAACAGTGTTTTGCAAGACACTTAATAGATTGCTGTAGATGCGCCATTTGAGACGGATAGCATGATAAATATTCGAGCTGTAGCATCTCCAATGTTTAACATCGAAGAAACTGGAAATCTCCCAAGGCTTGGAAGGAGAAAGAACAAGAAAAAGGGTCTGAATACGAGGCTTGGCTGACCTTGCCGCTTATGAACGAACAAATCTCCCATCCCTCCGTGGTCGACATGTTGCTGTTGGACTTCTTTGAGAATAGCCATTTGGATTCAGAAAAGCGGGTGGTTGATAATCTGTTGTGAATATCTGAAGCTTTTTAGAAAAACTATCATAGAATTCCGGGGAGAATCAACGCAATCAGCATTTATACACATTCATGAAGAAGACAAAACCCTCAAGTGGAAGCGGCATACTTTCATGGATGATGCGTACAAGTCAACAGACCAACAGAACGATGTACTGGGATAAGCAGAATATGTGAGGTCGGATGTATAAATAAATCTTTTAAAAGTTTGGCATCCCTTTCAATTTATAATACCAGTTTAACGTACTTATCAACTTAACCTGATATTGGCATGAACTAACATTGAATAAAACATGGATGCCTTGAGGAAAAAAGTTCCATACCTTAGAACAATTTGAGTTCCCAGTAATTCGATTTCATGAGTATTTAAGTTGAAATATTTATAACTACAGCCTCAATTTAACCGGGTTCACTGCCGATTTGCCCCCTCCCAGATCCATCCCGCTGACGGGTGATTGCTGTGGCAAAGATCGATGGAACTAGCTGAGAGACAGGTGAAACGAAGCACCCGCATGGTGTGGTGGTGAACGCGTTACTCCCCGGAAACGACAATAGCGCGTTCGTTCCCCACCGCATACACCTGCGGTCTGGAGTTTTGCAAATATCTCAACATCATTGAAGTTATAATACTTTGCTAAATTCCCTCCAGTTGCCTATCGCCTCATGATGGATGCTATTTCTGAATGTCAGACTGTGATGTAAAGTGAGACTCATCCTCCAGAGTAGTCTCAAATCCAAAAGTAAACTTGCGTCAGGACTATTGCGATCCTTGAGGTATCCACTAACTGGTAAGTGTTGACAACCTAAGGAAGCTCTAGTACGCTTTCGAGATTCCAGGGAAAGAAATTCTCACCCAACCAGCAAATTACCACTCAGCTAAGTGGTAGCTACCACTTCACTTTGTTTTTCATGAATATGCATCGTATTTTTTATTTAAATATTTAAATACTTGCCATATTTATATTATATTTAGTTATTTATTATTATCATTAATTATCATTATTCAGTTATATTTATTTTTATTTAATATTAAACACTCAAATATTTGAGTATGTTAGATTCGTTCAACTGCCTTGTGGTAAAACAGTCCCTCAAGAACGGTTTCAAATCAACGGAGCATTATCCGCCACCACCGGAAGCCTAGTCCACAACGGTTTCGATTGTTCGGGAAGTCCGTGAATGGACCGGCAGTGTGGCGGCACAGCGTTAGGAATGGGTCAATGCTGTCAAAGTTTTGCAACACTTTCTGAAACTATTTGTTTCAAAAAATTTGCAATTGAAACGATACTGAGACATTTGCAAGACTTGGGCCGTAGGTCACATTCGAACCCGCGACTATCCTTCACGGATGCCATAATTGCATAGTGAATGACTAATTTGCGTTTCAGTAACTTAATCTCCAGTCTCGGCAAGATTCTGAGCTATCTTGACTGTGGAAATATAATATTCACAGACGGTTTAAAAAAAGCAACTTGAATGAAAGTTGAAGTCGTGCGAATATTGTAGTCGCTCTGTCTTTCAAACACTTTAGCGTAGTGGATTTTTGGTAATGAGATACTAGATTCTTTTGAGGCCACATGACCACACCGACAGATCGCTCGATCGACACCGATATCACGACACCATGTTGCATTGGTTTCTGCTACGAGTGGAACACCAAGGTAAGCTTTAAGCCAAACAAGGATCAGGTAGTGCGTTCGCGATTAAGTGGTTGCGAAAGTTCAATTCTCCAGAAGTATCAGAACTTTAGAAAATGGGGGTGGGGCGATTGCTGCAAATGCTCTACTTTAACAATGCAAGGAACATTTTGAAATATTAGCCGTGCTTTGTATTTTGAAGATCTTTGAACAGTAGAAAAACTAGATGCTGTCTCCAGATCTCAATGCGACCTGTGTCGGACGATGACTCCGTAATTCTAATAGTGTCGCCGAAATTCGCTACCGTTTACGACCATGTCTCATTTCAGTGGAGCCTGAAGATCCATGGCATGACCGGACGGGTAGGTCGCGTAGTTTACTCAATTTCTGATGTAAATCGGTGCTCTTTAGAGAAATTGTGCGGCAAAGAATCGTCCTGGCTATACATCGTGCCTATGCAGCCGATTGGCACTCCTTGGTTTTCCAAGCCGTAGATTCATAGGATACTTACTTATTTACCACTTATTCACTCATTTCGTTGTGTTCCAACAATAACCCACAGCTGGTTGGGTTATGCAGAGGCTCGGCTACGACTTCGGAACTTCTCTTCTCATTAACATGCTGAATAAGCGCGATTTCCTCTGGAATTCCGAGGTAGCTGTGTTACGGTGTTACCCTACCTTGATTACTAGCAGTTGCCGCAGTCGAACCACTAGATTACTATTCATATAGTGACAAAATCAAATGGTATAGGCGGCATATGATCATGTTTGGCCTCAAACCATTCGTTTTCAAATTCGAATCCCACTGCATGTAGTATTGATTGGAATATTCGAGGAGCTAACAATAAAGTTAAGAATCAGTTGAAACGTGACTTGGTTTTTTATTCTTGGGAGTTGAAAAACATTTGCAATCGCAGTTGGACGACGATGTGGAAGATGAGGACGAGCTACCGTCCGACTATGTCGCCGTCGAACTCTATTACGTCGACGGTCCTGTCAGCCAGGTTTGTTCATTTAGACGAAAAGAACGTTTTGTATGCCCATCATTTAGTAAAACTCAATTAGGCAAGTATCATGGTAAAATTGAGAAAATTTTTATGTAAAAAAAATGTCTTCCCATTATTTTAATCCCTGTTGTCGCATGATTTCTCCAAGATGTACGTTGCTTTTGTTTAACGTTTGAGATAGAAGCACCACAACAAATAGACCAATAGTGGATGACAGTTAGTACTGAACTTTTGTGGTTCCCCCAAGGACTGTTTCTTAAAGTTTGCATGTAGTACACTGTGTGAACTTTGTTGTGTGGTGAAACAAGAGTCCAAAATTCGTCTAGATAGGTCAGAGTTTTCCCGGATTCATAGGAAACTGTGACAATGTATCCAAGAGAAAACCTATCTTGGCATCTTGTATGACAGCAAAATACCCCAAAAATGCATACAATTAAGTAATATACAAAGTAGTGATAAGATTACTGAACGAAGCATTTTCAAGAGTCTGAGTTTGATATTTTAACTTCCTTAATTTTTACGGCTTTCATCTAAATATGTTGTCAATTTTGCCCGTGACTACATCAATAGGAATCCGATCTAGAAGAAACTGATAGCTGCCGATAGTGCTGGTTCACGCGTCTAACAAGAAAATTGGCCCATCACGTTGGTGGCCTTCGTTAGTCTTGCCTTGGTGAAGTGAGTATACACTTAGGAATACTTCTGGAACATCAATCATCTTCGTATATCGAGTGTCGTTTTAAATGGATATCTCTCGGATCATGTGTTTACATTTTTGAGCTTACACGAAGTTAGTAAATAAAATTGATTTAGCTAACTTTTCAACATCTTCGTCTTCATCAGAGCCCATGATCCGGCTTAAACACATGGTGATTTCTCACACCGAGATTAATGGAAAGTCGGTTTTTGAAAAAGTATTATGCTCTGTGGTAGCTAATAATGATACCGACTTTTGCTGGATGGACTGTACGTGAAAAACAAGTCGTTGTCCATGGACAGTCATTATTGTGAACAACCAGCTTCTCGTACAAAATTGCGTCGCTGGGTGAGTGCGCCTTATTCGAGAGATGCTCCACTAAGGAATATCCAACTCGATACGAAGAAGAAGACGCCAAATCGAGAAGACGAACTAGTGTGGACCATGACTTGGGTCACCGGCTCTGATGAGAACGAAGACATCGAAACGTTAGCCGAATAAAACCAATTTGTCAAGCTCGTGTAAGCTCAACAATTTAAGTACATGTTGGTTTGTCATACAGAGGTTAAATGGAAGTCGGTTTTCGAAATCTTTTGGATCGCGCAAGCTTTAGTGGCTGTTATCATAGGTAGAACGGAACACCTAAATTCAGGGGTAGGAATCACCTCCAACCGTAAAAAGAGACCAATCAAAACAACATTAAACTCTAGCTTATTTTCAGTACAAAGTTATTACAGTAAAAGTTTTTCCATTTCAGAAGTTGCATTTGTCAGAATACCCAATTGTAGTGGTGAACTAAGAAAACATGGCCATTGTAGGGATATAAAAGTGAAAATTTTGTTGCTTAAGATTTTCCAAATTTCAAGCTTCTTTCCTTCCTTCTTAGATGGCTTTTTAATTTCTTCAACTTTACTGTGTAGGTGGATATTCGAGCTGTTGTTCGAGTGATGCAGAAGGATGCAAAGAATGAAGACAAATCAGATATGGTTGAGGAACGTCAGTGATTCGTCGTCATATAGTGTTTTCGCCAAGACTTTCCACCTTACGCACTGAACTATGATTTGTTCTGACCTTCTTAGTTTTCAGGAAGTACAATATCGATGCAACGCGGACGTGGATGTGAAGTGACTGACAAGGATCGTACGACGATCTCACAATTTCTGCAGGTCTGCAACAATTCTTTTTCAACGTCAACTTTTTATTTACTGCCTTTTACAGTTTTTCGCGGAAAGGTATTATGTGTGGTACAACCACAATGATGCTGAGATATTTGCAAAACTCCGGGCCGCAGGTGTCTGCGGTGGGGAACGAACGTGTTATTACCCTTTCCGGGGTCTAACGCGTTCGCCACCGCATCATACTGGTTCCTCGTTTCAACAATTCTTTTTCAGTAGCGTCTTGTTAAAAAGGTGCTTCTATCTACAAAAAAGCATAGGACCAATTTATTTCAAACGCAAATTTGCAAGGATTCGACAAGTTGGTGCAAACTCATAAGAGCATCACTAGCCTAACAGTAACTACGTCTACATGTCCAATCGAAATTTGTTAGTGAAGAATAAATTAAGGGACCGTGAAAGAGTGCACCCCCATATTTTACGAATGACCATAGGTTATGTGCCTTAATAGGAGCGTTAGCCACATTCTTTATGAAACATTTTGTTTGCTTTCCCTGCCTGAAAAAACTACTTAGGGCTTCTTCCTTTTGATGTCATTGCAGTTTATCCTTCCTCGCACAATAGTTTTCCTCGTTCGCAGTAGATTTCTCGTTACCTCATTTTAGTATTTTTCCACGAGGCTAAGATGGCTACTAAAAGGTAACGACGGAAGAACAGGAAAACGTTGATGGGTAATGCACATCTAATTTTTATGGCTAGGTTACCTAAAAAATAGTGCTATTTTGATTTCCTGGACTTGGTGTTTCGTATTTCTTACAAATTCGCAGCTATACGCATTGATTTCAATGCACCCGTAACTGGAGTTGATTCCGTCCTCCAGCTTTTAAGCAGCAATATATCCGCTCGAAGTTTATGGTTTATTAATTGTAACAAAACTATTGGAATCTAGAGATCTTTACCAAAAATATCCAGGTTTAATTACTACGACTCTTACGGAATCCATGAATCGTTTGCTCGTCTTGCAATATAAGATGGTGTCCCGATGAAAGCCGTTCATGCTAGCGCTTGCCATACTAGCCTTAACACGTCGATTTTCCACCTAGTTTTCGTCGTCGACCAAGTAGGACTTCAATTTTGCATTACGCACTGTGTTCAACGCGTGCAACGCAATGCTCAGAGATACCTTACAATTTGAATGTGGTCGCTGGTTCGATCTCGCGAGCCTGACTTAACAAGTGTTCCATCATATGGCGTCTACAAATTGGTACGAGACCTGTCCGGGAGGATAAAAGCACTGACTCGATAATTCCGTAGGTCACCGGGAACCGCTATATAAACCAGACAAGCATTCAATCACCACCTAAAACGATGCTTGATGAAATCGAATGCGTAGCGCACCCATAAGGATTGATCAACACGAAAAGGTTTGTCCTTTTATCCTTTACGCATGTGGTCTGTTGTACCCCACCAAAAGAAGATATCTAAAGTATCCTCTTTATTAGCAAGTGTTGGTGTTACACAGTACAAATGGCATGAAAGTTCCATGGAGCTTGTGTATTTATAATTGTTCAGCAGGCAGAGATATCTTAAACGCCTGACCTGCAGCACTCTTGAGCAACAGCCTGTTTGGCGAGGTGAAAAAAATCGTATGGAAAACACTTTTTTGCATACTATGAACCGTGCTACTTGTGCTACTACTGTGCTGATTGTACACTTTTTTCGAAAAAGGCTCGTCACAAACATTTGTGGTGGGAAGGTTGTCGATTGAGTACAAAAAGTGTAGTAGAAAACTCTGTGCGGTAGTAGAAAAAGTAAGGAGGAATGCGAATCGAAATAGATGCGTACACTTGTAAATGTGTTAAATACGACGAAATGGCGTTATGCCATTAGTATAACTTATGACATAACGTTAGTTCCGAAAGTTCTGTGATAGTAAGGGTAACAACAAGAGGAGGAAATTTGAGGACAAAGGATAAAGAAAAAACCCCTCAGCATTGATCAATCCTTAAAGGATGCATGCCATGCAGTCAAGCATTGGGAGAGGTGACTTAACGCATATTTGACCATTACGGTGACTTGCGGTGCCCTATCGAAGTATCAAACCTATGTTACTATCCTCCAAGACAAGTCTTGTACTGATTCGTCTACACCGAAGGGATGGAACACTTAGCGAGTCTCATGAACGAACCAGCGTCCACTTATTTACCCATTTCAATCAACAAATCATTCTTTACTTGATGTGGATAACACACACTTTTGAGAATTTATGGAAGAACTAGGCGTAACGAAAACATCTTTAGTTAGGGGATGTGAATGAAAGACACATAGGCAAACTTTTATGAAATCTGGCTCTTACTTTTTCAAGCACCTCGATAACCACTTTCTCAGAAAATCTTCAGCAACTTCTCCTGAAAAAGTCTCTGAAAAACGGATGGATTGGGATAGCTTAGGATTCCACCATAACGAAATAATTACTCTTGAATCTTGTTGGTCAAGTGGCGTGTATTCTAATAGTTTGATTTCAGTTCATAAAACTCCGTCAGAGTTGAGAAGTTTGTATTTCTACTTATTTATTTACTTTCTACACGACTCAATATCACATCTGTCATCACGGATCCCAACACTTCTTCCATTCCATTCCTTTTCTCGAATTCATCATCCATGCTCTTTTAATCCTCGCCTACGAGTTCGGTTGCCCCTTGAGAACTTTCCCTTCGTCATGAATGTCGTTAAATGCTGGTGGATTCGCTGCCCTCTGGAATCTTCAGATAGTCGTCTGGTGCGTTCCTGTGTGGATTGGAGAGATTCAGATTGTTCAAGGTTAGCTTGGTACCGACTTTCCGTCTCTGGAACAATGACAAGCTTGGCTGGTCAGGAGCGGCATCAAACGAGGACCTGGGTGGATTGGACCGTTCGCTTTTGGGATCACTACCATTGCACCACCCGCATTGTTGATAACTATAGAAGGAGGAGTTAACTTAATAGCAAGGATGGTTTTCAAAACGACCTAATATTTTTATTCAGTTGATTTCTGTACTTTCAATTCATGATTTTTCTTTTCAGGAAAACGTTGGGATGGTTATAAAGGTTTCGGTGCTTATCAAGATGGATGCAAAATTATTTGATCCTTACACATATCTGGACAATGTTAGCCGAGTTCTGTTGACTTAATCACTCAGGAAGATCATTAACAAATTTAGGTTTTCCCCACACCTCAAAAATCTTTCCTCACTACGAACTATAACGCCAGAGTCAACAGTAAAGTATGGAGGCGACGGTCGAGAAAGTGAGTTCAAAGGAACGAATTCACCGATTACCGTCAGGAATTTTAAAAAATTGGTCAAAAAGCTTTAAAAACATGGATAAGAACTCAGGGAACTTGTTCTATAGCCGAAAAAACACCTATCAGGGTTGTTGAGGAAAAACAATCGAAGAACAAACTATGAAATATGGATTTCTTAGTTCCCGTTAACTGTTTTCTGTCTGGGGGGGGGGGGGGGGGGGGGGTGGGCCCCAGCATAATCTCCATTTTTCGGAGATTTGTTGGTTAAACCATTGTGGTCTGGAATCCTGAGGCCACCCTGGTCAAGGTCTGCCCCAGGTCTTCACTAATACAGGCAGTCGCGGCCCTTGTGGATCAGAGAGAGATTTGCAACCATGCCACTTTCATACCAGGACGGTGGTGGATCCTGGTATTGGTTTACTCTTAGCTAGGATTCCTGATGGAAACGCCGGACTCCTCGACTTGGGAGACCCTGCCGGAGGGACGAATCCTCCCGCTGAATATCGCAGTCTGACATCTAGGAACACCTCCAACCACGATAAGACGGTAAACCGTTGGGAGGAGACAGCTTAATGCTGATGATATTTCTTTATGTAATTGTAATGTACAGCTCTTCCAGAAAACCACTTACTATATCTGTTCACAAAACAGTAGAGAAACAGATACTTAATGAATTGAGGTAGTATCTATCCTAGTGAAGGCGAGACATCCATCCACTCATAGGGAATTTCACCAATATTTCAATAATTGTTTTACATGATTCTGATAGCTGTTTGAATCAGATACACATACAAGAAAAATCGCTGCAGAAGACTACGCTTAAACGGTATCTTTCATCAGAAAATCGATGAAGGACGAAAACGGGAAAGTGAGTCGAAAGGAGAAAATCGATATTGAAAAGAAATTCGCCGAGGTCATGGAACAGGAACGAGAACGGGTGAGTGTAAAAGTGGATTCACATCCCAAAATGTAGCTATGCGTGCAAAAACTAATGCTCAGATGAGCGAAACGAATCGATTGCGTGTGACGGAACCGTCATCACGGCGAGGATCCAGTCAGACGCCCATCGCTCTCAACCACTCGCCAGATCATGAGCATCTCTTTAAGAAGGTTCGCATGCCCGTGACTTTCTACCTATCTTAGGTTTCATAGGTTCACTATGATTCCTAGGCAGTGTTTAGAAAGAAATGTAGGAGGTATGGAGTCACGTTCTGCGACCATTTATGAATTCCTCGAACTAGTGCCTTGTCTCGAAGCCAAATTCTTCTTAACATGAGTGAAATATGAAGTATCCACGATAAAGTGGTTTAAGTGTAGCAATTAGAAACGATCTATGGAAAGTTCTTACAATATAATAGAATAGGTAGTAAAACTGATGTTATCTGAAGTACAATCTCACAAGGTCCTGAATTATTTTCAGTTACTAATGACACGACAATATGTGAGGTATAGCTATTCTACATTAGTACTTTTTGAAGTCATTTATTTGTTGTTATATGACCCGTCTTCACGTCTGTTATGTTATGATCCTAGCAGTTCGCAATCGATTCGTTTCCTCGCATCCATCATCCACGAAAATCTTCCAACTTTTACGTGTGGCTTCGGTTCCTGCTTGAGAATTTTCATTTCACCTTGAATATTGTAGAATGCTAGTCGAGCAATTCTCCATGGAGTCCTGAGATAGCCACCAGGCTGGAGCGCTACTAATTGGACTGCAGAGAGTGATTTTTCCCCGGACAAGTGCGGTACCAATTTTCCGACCCCGGAGGGATGAGAGGCTTGGTTGGCCCAGAGCGGAATCGAACTAGCACCATGCTCGTCACCATCACCAAGTCATTTATTTACACCGCCTAACTTCACATATTGCGAGGTCCAACACTTCTTTCATTCGGTTTGTTGTCTCGAATCTGTCAACGACTAAATTTGGATTTGCGCCTGAGTTCGACTGCCAATTGAGATCTTTGCCTTCCACATGAATATTGTCGAATGCTAATCTTGGATTCTGAATGGAACCCTGGGATAACCTTGTTCAGAGCATTCTCAGGTTTTCATTACCGAGGCTTTTCTTAGCTTGCATAGTATTGAACCGCTAACTACCACGAGTGCGTTATACGGCATTTCTAACCACTACAATTTCCGCGGCAAAGCTCCGAATTTCTTTTAGGTCAGCCATCCCTTTTTACAGTATCGCGCTTACAACAGCTGTGAATATTAACATTGTTGTTCCACAATAGAGTAGACAGGTAGGGCAATGGAAATGATGCCATTCATTACGAACAAAGCGCTGAGTTGACCTCAGCCCGCCGGTTTTGCAATGGTGTTTTTGGTTTACGGCTTCAGCAGCGGTACGATAATTACTCTGAACACTTTCACAGTTTTTTCAGTTGTCCGGCAATCGGTAGAAAAGTTAGATATTCTTCTACACGAATCGTCTTAACATCTACTGGGCGAGTCTCGGCACTTCTTGCATTCTATTCTTTTCCTCGCATCCACTATCCACAATAGTCCTTGAACTTTTCACGCATGGCTTTGCTGCTGTTTGAGAATTGTCATCTGATTAATGGACGTTGTTGAATGCTGGTCCACTTGATTCTACCTGAAGTGAGGGATAGCCGTGCTAGAGTTCCCACTTGAACTGCAAGGAGTGAACTGTTCCGAAACAGGTATAGTACTAATTTCTCGGTCCCGGAGGGATGAGAGCCTTAGTAACATTAAGACGAGTCGAACCAGGACCATGTTCGTGATGAATAGCATTATCACCACTATGTTATCTGCCGTTTAGAAGAGTTCTATACGAAGAATAGAATACAAAATTTTACCGTCGGTCAAGTTCCACGAGCTTTGTGTGAATGGAGTAAGAGTAAGCAAATGGGACACAATGTGAAATATGTTGTTGACATTAGTAGATTTCGTTGCTTTTTTGTTTATTTCATATATTTATAGTTATTAATAAGCTGTTGTGAATCGTGTGAACGACGGAGATGCTCCTTCATTTATGATGGCCGAACAGAAGACGAATCAGAGGAAGTTGAGGTGAGGACAAAATGCCTGACAAAGGCACAGAGTCATGCAATTGCTCCGCTCTTCATTTTCTCAATTTTAACTTACAGAAAAAGAACATTTCTTAACCTTGAAGGTTTGATCCGATCACAAACGCAAAAGTTCAGAGTTAAAGGCAAAAGTTAAGCAATCTACGTGGAGAGAACCTCAAAAGGCGAAAACTCATTATTTGCCTTGACCATTCTCGTACAGAGTATTTCTCTTTCATAAATACCGATGCTTATTTCCTCTAATGTTATAACTAGGACTATGTCCTAAGAAATTTCTCTAACTGCATCTACATTTCAGGAGACCGAGTCAAGTGATGGAGAGGAGAAACGTTTCGAGTGCAGCGACATCCAAAAAGAGCACGTTCATGACGTGAGTCGAAAGCCTATAACTACAGCTTAGCCTAGCTAATTTAAGAAATTTTAAAACATTTTGAAATGCCTGCATTCTACGAAAATTTGTGGAGATTTTATTGAATTAAGCGGTTACATATTGGAGTAAATCGAAACAAGTCGATGTTGCAAAACAGGTACACACCGGAAATTACTGCCATAGGAATGACACTACGCTCATTACTTCACTTCCATGTGGGCTACGCCCCGTGTGCTGGCTCAAAAAAGCCTTAGTTGCTCCAGTTTACCAGAGGATCCAAACTAAATACTAATCAAAATTTTGAAGCGGGCCATCATTTAATGTCGGTACTATAATAATCAACATGTGTTTATATCGTTGAACTTACACAAGGTTGATAGAGATATTTATTCGGCTAACGTTTCGACGTCTTCATCTTTATCTGAGCCGACGATCCTTGTCGATGGTCCACAGTTGTTCCTCTTCTCGATGTGGTGTCTTCGTCTCGCATCGAATCGGATCTTCCCCAATTGAACATCACGAATTCGAGATCAGATCGAGACAAAGACGCCACATCGAGAAGAGGAACTACTGTGAACCATCGACAAGTATCGTCGGCTCTGATGAAGGCGAAGACATCGAAACGTTGGCCGAATAGATATCTCTATCAGCCTCGTGCAAGCTCAACATAATAAACACATGCTGATCAAAATGACCTTATTTTTGTTGTCGGACCACATTAATCATTAAGTGCTTTTTTTCTCGACGTAACACGAAGTTGTTGACATGAATTTCCTCTCTTGGGTGAATAACGTTTCGGCAGATTTCGTGTCCTACAAAGTCTGTAAAAGGTCACAATATCATTCGTTTTGTGCATAAATTACAACATGTTGTCGTGAATATGAATGGGTTTATAAGAGCAAGAACAACAATCAACGAGGGAACATTTCGTCGACGCCTGTAGCCAGCATCAAATGCTTAGCAATGTACTGACTACTTCATTTAGCTGTGAGCAGGATTTTTCTATTTTATTTTATTTGATCTGATCCGTCTTCGCGTCTACTGCGCGGATCCCAGCACTTCTCAAATTCGATTCGTTTCTTCGCATCCATTGTCCACGAAGTTCTTCCAACTTTACGTGTGGCTTCGGTTGCTATTTGAGGATTTTCATTTCATCTTGAATGCCGCAGAATGTTGGTTGAATCGATTGTTCCTGGAGTCCTGAGATAGCCGAGCTGGAGTGTTCCCAACTGAATTGAAGAGAATGAGGAGATGAGCATGCCGATATTGGCTCCCCAGATCAATCCCGTTTACGGGTGATTGCTGATGGAAAAAAAGATCGACAGAACTAGCTGAGAGACATGCAAAGCGAAGGACCGGGATGGTGTAGTGGTGAAGTGCGCTGCTCCCCGGTAAGGACAACAGCGCGTGTTCGTTCCCCACTGCATACACCTGTGGTCCGGAGTTTTGCAAATATCTCAGCATTTCATACGAGAATGAGGAGAACTAAATAGCTATAATAGGCTGCAGAGCAAATTGTAGCTGCAGTGATTTTTCGCAATGCTACGGTATTACCGCGTTACCACGTGTTCAACGTTAAGGCGTGGTATCCAGGAACAAACCGAAAACTTTCTATACATTCTAACTCCCAAGTGAACAACTTACTTGGATAGCCCGTCCTCACTGGTTGTGCGAGTACCCAGCATAATCTCCATTTCTCGGAGTTTTGCTGGTTTAGCCATTGTGTTTCCTTGGAATCCGGTGGTCAGCCTGCCCTAAGTCTCCTCAAGGTCGTCACCATCGCAAGCAGTCGCAGCCCTTGTGGATCAGAGGGAGATTTGCCACCATGCAATTAGTTTGGTACCAGGATGGTGGTGGATTCTGGTATTGGTTTACTCTTATCTAGGTTACCTGATGGAAAGCCGGACTCCCTTTCAGCTTGGGAGACCCTACCGTGGACATGAATCTCCCGCTCTATACCACAGCCCGACACTCAGGAACACCTACCAACCATGATAAGGCGGTAAACCGTTGGGAGAAGTGAACAACTAGTAAAATCAAAGCCACTGGGGACTTTGCTAGTACTTGTAGCATAATTTAGATATTTCCAGTTGCTCGCAAATATGTACTTCACTAAGATTGTGCTGCCAGACATGGAATACGTAGAGGATTTCGTCGACTTCCTCATCGATGCTGAACTCAACGATCTCCCAGTATTGAAACGGGCATGCGAGCGTTACCTCTGCGGCGAACTGAACACTGTAGGCCATTGAAGCTTTTGTATCGTGAACAATTCCAAAATTCATTTTAAGCGATCTTCGTTATTTCTAAAATTACAACGAAAATGTCTCAAGAATATTGTTCATTATTACTAGTCAATATTACTTAATCGGATACCCCTCGGCAACATGATATGCTTTCATTTTTTGGTTATAGAAAACCTTTCCTTTTTTCAGAAGAAGGACTTGCTTACCTCTCTTCTACTCGACCTACTCTTCATCTCCATTGTTTTCCAGCTCTCTGTCATGAAAAGCATGACATTGTCCGAGTTGGCAAATAGAGCTGACGAGTTGTCTCAGCTCGACAAACTAATGGAAGACGAGGAATACAAGTAAGAATGCGGCATAATTTAACACAAATTCTTTCATTATCGGAACCAAAGTGTGGCAAAGCCCGACGTGTTGATTCACTGCCATGTTTGTACTGTCTTAGGAAACTCAGTACCATAACGAGATGTATTTCCACAGACCACACCATAGCAAATCGGAGGTCTTGCCTAACTAAGGTCTCTGTTGTTTCAAGGTTTTACACATGGTCAGACCATCGACTACAATATCCAGGATGTGAAATGCAGAAACAATCATGAGTTGGGCTTTGTTCGCTTCCTTAGTTGACTAACGAAACCACATCCTTATCTACAGCAAAAATAAGGAATACGGACTAGTTTACCCAGCGCCACATCACCAGAAGAGTCCTGTCTCAAGAAACCTTCATTCTTACATGCGAAAATAGCAGGCAGAAGTCCATCATCAACTTATATGCACTAAATGTTCAGAAGAAATGGATTTGTTTCCTATGTTTCATTTATGATCAACAGATAGACGGTTTCTGAATGCTGCAGCTATGTGCATTTGAGTCGATAAGTCTACGTGATGAATACATGGATGAATGAATAAATGAAATCAGCATCAGCTCAACAAGATCACTTTGTGAGATCATATAAATAGATGAACTCAACTTCACTGCTCAGCAAGAGTAAGCAAATGTCTCAAGAGCACCACAGGAGCACCAGAGATATGAAAAGGATTGAGAACAATCGGCTCTTTGCGTCCCTTTTCTCGTGTACGATCCTACCTGTCTTAAGGTACGTATTCGAACCCTGAAGGCAACATGAGCAGAATGAAAGGTCACTTAGTGTTAAAGAACACTCTACCGATTGATTAGGAGCATCTGATATCATAAAACTGAGAAGGAATTCAATTCCACCTAGGCCGAATCATAGATCAGAGACGTTGCACTTAGGCCAGAATGTCGAAAGTTAGGTGAGCCGAACAAGTGGCACCGACGACTGGCGAACAACTGTAGTTATCCACTGGGTTCAACGGGATGTCAAGCACACTGCAAAATATCCATTCACTTGGAGGTCGAATTTCTTCGCGAAGAACCTCGAATACATTATATATGATCACTTCATAAATATGATGCCCAGGAAGCGACGAGAACACGTTGACTTACTCTTGCTAATGATAGTAACAAATTGAAACTTTCCTGACGCCTACCTAAACCATTCAACCAACGACAAGACGTATGATATCCGCTATACAGCCACCTAACAACTGCCTTTCGTGTATTTCCCATTCACTTCATTAGATACTTTTGGCGGAACCTACTTGCAGGACACAATTTCCAGAACAGAAAAGCACTCGCGCACTTGATACATGAATACATGAGTAAGCCCATGTTTATATTCAGAAGATATAAACCAATTTATTATAGCAGGAGCCCATTCTCTGAAGTCAATCTCATCTCAGTAAGAGAACGAAGCCCTTTGGTTCGCGTTTTCCCCTTTGAGCAACTCCCACGTAAGCTCGAGAACTGGGAATTCCTCAGTGAAAGCCCACTACTAAATTACAATCACCGCCAGTATGAGTTTAAGGATTTCGTTTCATGCAGACATCAAAATGTGTCTTAGTACAGCTCCCAAATCCAAGAGATTTCGGTTCGGTTCCTAAAACTGTCACAAGGCCTAAGATTACGCTCCTTAGATATCAAACTATGTACTGCAGAAAGAAAATTTTGTTTAGATCCCGAACGGATTAGCTCTAACTGCTCAGTATTGTGTCTTGTTCTAGTCATGGATTAGGTCCTACCCATGTTTTTTTCTACCACTTTAACCTTTAGCACCTTAAAAAAAGACTATTCAGAGTGCTAGACAAGCGCATCCGATCGCTCTCAGACCGCAATTTGGTGGAGCTAGTCGAGCAGTGTTTAGCTTTCAGAGAGCAGCGGAATAGAGTGCAGGTTGTCACGCTTGGTACTTAGAACCACATCACCGTCAACAAACCAGTAACTTCTGTAGAGATTTCTTATGCCCAGTCTCGTTTCTTATCAGACTTCATTGAGTGCGCTTGTTTACTGTATATTTGAGAGCACTTCTGGACTTGACATTTGATGCAATTATCAGCGCATGATGATATATATCCTGTTCTGTCGACTGACTAATCCTCTTCACTAATTGCGCTTTTGTTTTGTTTTGTATTTGGCATTCAGAGCGGATTAACATTTAGCAATAAAAATTCATCGAAACTGAGTCGCAAAGGAGCAAGAGACCCAAGCAGTAAAATATCAAAGCCTAACTTCGAAATATCAAAGCCTAAGTTACAGTAAACAAGGACCGTACGTCACATCAGCATTTGTATACAACAAGCCATGCAGAGGATGACCTTACCATAGCAATAAATGGACACCATAACTTAAAATCGATCCCTGAACCTGCCGTAGTCAAACCAAACGTACTGCTTTCTGAAACTCGTACAAAAGGACAATCAAGTATGTTGACTGCTAATATAATACTCCTGTACAAAAAAAATTAAGTTGAATGTCTGGAAAGAACAACAGTCAACTGCACAGGAAATTAGATGCAAACGCAGTAATGGCTTGGAGCGCACAAGCAAAAGAAGGGGAAAATACAAACTTAAGTGGGAAAGACCGCTGGTCAATGAAATGGAGGATAACGTCGGCGAAGATTCGCGCATTACATTCCACATTCCGACACCTGACTAAGCGGATAACCATTGGTGGGCACATTAGTCGTGCGTCGATAAGCGTCCGCACGTGATCTATCGTGATGTCGGTAGCGGAAAGGTCAAGCAGCTGCACACATCCCATGCTGACCCATTCGATTAAAGAATCGAAGTCGGTAATTTGACAGCCAACCAGTGACAACTCACGAAGATTTGGCAACCATGTAGACTGTAAGCAAAAAGCAAATTATGTAAATCACATGAAGGCTCGTAATAATACAACACAATGACAAACGCGGAATTCTTGAATCGCAAACAAAAAAAGCCATATGTCGACGTTTCGGGACACTTTAGAGACAGTTGAAACCAAAAGATATTTGTGTGAAAACTTACATAATTACAACAGAAAAGTGATACTTGTAGCGCAGCGGTCGGAGGCGCCCTGCAACATACATGGGAGCGATCCCCGCCCCGCGCCCCAGACCCATCAAGCCCTCCATCTCTCCGTGATTGGCAAAACTTGTCTGGGAGGATGACAGCATTGGTTCGATAAATCGGGTGGGCCACCGCGAGTCAATGTAAAGGCCAGATATGCATTCAATCACCTCCAAACTATGCTTAATGAAGTGGAATGCATGGCACATCCTCAGGGATTGATCAACGCTGAGAGTTTTACCCCTGATTTATGGAAATATTCATGCATACGTAAGCCTTTTTCCTTTCGGAACCTTGTTTTTTGAATTTAGCAGCCTTTAAATAAATGGCCTAGTAGCTACGACACCTTTGAATGCCACTGATCAACAGAAAATATCCCATTTGGCCGCATGAGAACGTGCGTCCTTGAAGACTGATAGTAGAAAAGACGGAGTTTTGAATACGAAAGTCAACTCCACGTAACGCATCAGCAATAGCAGATTTCCACTTCAACAAATATTTGCGACAATCTTCTCTAGAATACATTCTCCTACCTTAAGCTTGAGGCGCGCGTGTAGCGCAGTGGTCGGAGGCGTCCTGCAATACACATGGGATCGATCCCGCTCCCCAGGTTCATCAAGCCTTCCATCCCTCCGGAGTCGGCAAGTTGGTACCAGATTTGTCTGCGAGGATAGTAGCACTGGTTCGATACATCGGTAGGCCACCACGAGTTATTGTAAAGGCCAAATATGCTTTCAATCACCTCCGAACGATGTTTAATGAAGTCGAATGCATGGCGCATCCCTCAAGGATAGATAAACGGCGAGAGTTTTATCCTTTATTTTTAATCACAACAAAAAATGACTTCAAAACTGCCAACTCAATAGTTTGCATTTTACAACCATAAATGAAGCATTTTAAAATGGCACATAGTTATTCAAAAATGAGCAAAAGGAACATACCGTGAAGTAAACACAACTCAGATCACAGCCGTCCATCTTCAGAGTTACAAGACTATCACATGATGATAAGAGCCGCTCAACCAGATGTCCTCGAAGCAACCCACTAAAGGATACATCGACCGATTCAAGATTGTTCAATCCTAAATATAAAACGTCAATTAAAATAAAACTAACTTCAGAAACAAGAATGCTGGTACAACTTTTTTTGCGATCACAGTCGACAATTTTCGGACAACTTTAGCAGGAACGAGAGTTGAAAATCTTCCTCCTACACTTTCATATGACCTAGGTGTATGGTATCTGCTCAGTCACCAACATGATGCAGTGAGGCACAGAATCGTATCCTGCTTGAAGAAGCTCACTTGCTCACTCTTCTCGCTGAGATATAAGCACTGAAGATAATTAGCGAAAAAATCACTTCAGAGCCACAAGAAGAAATCACAACTTTATTTCGATAAAGAAAATAAAGGAAAAAAAGAAACTTCGCACTTTGTTCGAAGACAGTAGTAAACTCCAACTCCAGCGGTCTTTATGTTGATTAAGAAATTTTACTACGAACAGAGACATACTTTTTTTGAAAGTGGAAATCTAAGTCACTTTCAGCCACGAGTGAGACATAAATGACCCATAACCTTAAATCACCGCCACTTTACTCGTAACAAAATTGGAAAGTGGTAAGCTTCTTTCCGGCCCAAAGGGCCGTGACTGATTTTGATGACCCGAAAACGGGATAACAAGGTTGACTTGCGACTTCATGTTAAAGGTAAATCCCACAGTCAGAAATAAATCAGCCTTAGTGTTTCGGACTCTGAGCGTTATCTTCTAGAGTGTTTTGGGGTGAGACAGCCAGTGAAGGGCAATAAAGTCTTGACTTGCAATAGGACGTCTTTGGAATTGGATTAGAACAACATCAAAGCAGGACTGCATCCTGCTCGGAATGAAGAACACCAGATCAATCTCCTCTCCCGATACTAAATCGCTTTACGACGGTCCATGATCAGAAGATCTGACGATACGAAATCTAAATGTCAAGACCTAAAGCCTGTGAAGGGAGAATCCCCTTACGAAATGTTCAGTGACAAACAAATCCATACGCTACATATCACTTATAGAGGTGATGTCACCTTGTCAGATCATCCTCAGATTGCAGTTCCCTTGACAAATGCAGAAAAGCACCACCATTACGTAGTTACCAATTCGTGCTCGTTAGCTGATGAGAAGGTTGCAGTAGAATGTCCTACACGCTCCGTGAAGGCCTGGTAAAACCTTACCTTGTAGGGATCTCAGGCAGAGTCATGCTTGATCAGTATTCAGATACGTTGATCAACACTGGACAAATTATGATACAACTGTGTGCAAATCTCAGCACGTTCGTGGACAAAACACACAAGACAGCGATCGGAATGAAAGAAGTGAGATCCACGCTGCGCGGGTTCATGTGAATAAATAAATAAATAAGTGGATAAATAGACAACAGAATTGTTTTCATAGTCTTCAATGCAAGAATAAAAAGTCGTCCAAAAGAAAGCATTGCTCCCTAAAGATCATTTCGCCGCTATGTTACGGAACTGATAATGCAAAGGTTGCACTCTAATAACTCCTGTTCCAGGACTTCCATATCAAGCCTCAGAATTCTCTTTAAAAAAAACCCAATCAAGATTGTTCTTCTGAAGCAATCCTGTCTCCTGTATCACCTGTAGTCCCATTGATCATCGAGTGACTCGAGCGGGCGCCAGCAAATATTCCATTTTTCCCTGTTGCGTGCAAAAGTAGCCCAGTGGGGTCTGCTCGCTCTAGGGACTCGTCGAGCATTATATCTTTCTGCTAGGCTCTTTGTGAAAAACACTGACCATCGGGTCGGTAGTCTTCCTGCAGTACGTTTGACATCCCGAGGAATCCAGTTACTCGGCCCATGTCAGTCGTTTGTCATTCATACGCATTACGTGTCCGGCCCACCTTATCTTCGACTGTTTGGCGTACAAAACGGCATCTTTGATTTCTGATCGTTGACGCAGATCGAAGCATTCAGGGGCCTGACTAGGGGCCTTGCATTCAGGCAGGTAACGTGTGAAGATCCGAGCCAGTGTGTTTACGAGGACTAGCGTAAAGTTCTTCAGGTGTTCTGATCTTATCCTGTCCAGACCTGATGCTGTTTGATTTTTCACCGACGAAATGGCATGTCGGATTTTGGTAGGCAGAACCAGTGGTACAACATATCCATCCTTCTTTATTTCACATGACGAGAGATGGACGTGGCTATCGAAGAGATCTAAGTAGTATTCGTGAATGATTTTCTCCATTGTCTTTCTGGACGCTGTAACTGTTCCGTCTGAGCGCCAGAGAGCAATCATTTTTGTCTTGTAATTCGCGAAGCTTCGGTGGACTTTGCGAATGCCTTTCCCAGCCTCTGCAGCTTCGGCCATTACTGCTACTCTTCTCTCTTTAAGATCTTCTTTTATTTTTTATCACCTGTCCGCATTGTTTTGCAAGTTCGGACGATATTTCGTGGTTGCCTGCAGCTCGTGCGATTCCAAGCTGGCGTATCAACTCGAGAGTTCCTGGAGACAAGCGTCTCTTGGTGACTTTCGAACTCTCAGCTTTCATAGCGCTAACGTGAAGATGTTGAATGAGCCGATCGTATTCCTCGTCGATGTTATCGACAACGGCATCTTCCCAACAACCGATTAATGAATTGAATAAGTCTCAGTTTGTGGTGGTTCTGGGAATTCGGTTTTTGAATTTAGCGGCTTTTTCTCCTTTCCTGCAATAGAATCTTGCACGAAGGAGACGATGGTTTGAACCTGTGCAGAATTTTCTTCGTATTTTTGTTGAGCAAACGCGAGGTGTTATTATTCTTTGTTCACGATTAAGCTGACGTTTCGGCGGATTTCGCCTTCCTCAGAGCCGCTTCCTATGAGGTTTCCACTATGTCACGTAAAGACCAACCGCACAGAAATCACATGGAAGTATAATGACAGACAGACAGACAGACAGACAGAACATTATGTTAAGACATTATACTTCCATGTGATTTCTGTGCGGTTGGTCTCTACGTGACATACTTAGTGGAAACCTCATAGGAAGCGGCTC